AGGTTGGCAAAGTGACTGGGAAGCTCAAGGGAGGGCAGGGAGAAGACTGGGAAGTGGTTTATATAAAAAGATAGCTTCTCACTCTCGGTCCACAAGAGCTGCAGGAAAGCACCAGACCCCAAAGAGTTACGAGTCTTCCACCCTGGGACCCAGAACCTGACTCAGACTTACTTGCTGGTGGCTGTTGTGTGCAGCCTCCTCCTCAATGCTGTCAGTGAACTCGGTGCTCGCATCTTCGGTGTCATCCCCTGCAGCTGCACCTGGAAGTAAGTCCAAAAGAGAAAGGTGATTCCCTTCACAGGTGGCTCCCAGACGGCAGCTAACATGTCACTCCTTTTGCCATCTACCTCTGATCTCTTCCCTTCCCCATATGCATGGTCCCTAGCCAGCAGGGCTGACAGGAAAGGCAGAACCAACGTGCCAAATCTGTAGAAAAGCCTTCTCACTGTATCACTGGTATTTTCTTACTAACATTCAAGCTTACGCCTCAAAACATAAGCTGGCTTTGATTGCACAGACCTGTACCTAAGGAGCCCACTGTCAGGGTGGTTACCCGTTCACTTATTTCCAGAAAGTCTGAATTACAACCTTTCCCCGCCCCCACCCACCGCCCCGGTTCTGCCTCTGACTGGCTATGTAACAGAAGTTTCTCTTCTGTAACATGGGCCCAGCATGGCTACCCTTTTCCCCACCACTGAGTGTGGACAGGGTCCCTGATTTTCTGGGGACTAGGGCAGTCCTGCTCCTCTCATACTTTTCCATCACTGGGATCAGCTGTGCATGGGGTGACACTCTCTCTTGAGGGGCCCTGTGTCCTACAGAAGCTCAGGTCTAGTCAAGGGCCAAGGAACAGGCATTTCTTAATTCTTTAACACCCCCCATCCCATCTCTCAGACTCTTGCTCAATGCCAACATCCATTGCCTGTAGGGTTCTTGCACTGCTTTTTCCAAATGGGATTCAATCCATATTTTCACTCCCCAAAGATGGACATGGTTGCCCTAGGGCACAAGCATCTATGCCCTGCACTAAGGGATAAGGAGCTGCAGTTGGTGGTCTGGGCAAAGGTCTAGAGCTGTGCTGAGCAAATGACTTTCTGCAACTCTATGTCTGCACTGCCCAACACGGTAGACACTGGTCACATGTGAGTGGCTACTGAGCACTGGAAATATGGCTAGGGTGACTGAGGAACTGAAATTTTAATTTAAAATAGCTTAACTTAAATTAAAATTCAAACATGTAGCTAGTGGCTGCCATATCGGACAGTACAAACCTAGGACATTTCTTCCTCTTCACATGTTAGAATAAGACTGTCTATCCATCCAATTTCAGATTAAGGCCTATGGCCCACATTACAGATTTCTTCTGAAAAGTGTAGGAATTTATAGTGGTTAATTCATTTGAACACCAAAGAAAATCTACCTTGACACTCTCTGGGTCTTACAGAGCATGCCCAAGTTAGAGAACCTAGAGATCTAGTTGTGATCCTGACCTTGGCAACCAACCTGGTTAAAACTCTTCTGACCTGAGTAGTAACCTGGGCCTCTAAGAGATTAGGTGGCGTGTCCAAGGTTCTGACAAGAAGACAAGTGTCTGAACTTCATGAGGCAGCTCACTGTTCCTTCTAATGACAAGTCAGATCTGTACCTTTGTTTCTTCAAGACTCAAGACCCTGCTTCTGAGCTCAGACATCCCTGGATGAAAGGCCTTGCGTGAATAACGAGCATTCAGTACCATCTGCAGATGAGGTGAATGGGAGGGTCACACCCGCATTCCATCTCGGCATCTGCAAGTTCGTGCCAGATGTTTGCAATGGTCGGGGCCAATCTCATTAAAGTACAAAAAGGCAGTAGGCATGTTGTTCTAACAGCTTCATCTTAGGACCCACTCACTGATCTTCACCGTGAATGTTGTGTTATCTTTGGATCAAGGCAGTACCTGTTCAATAAAGCCCTACTTACAAGGGACCTCTACCACTCAACATCTTTGGAGTCCCCTGGCGGACAGTGCACAATAGGCATTTCCATTACTTAATCTTTTAAACCAGCCCCAGAACATCTGGCTCAGGGCACTGGTTGTGTAGAGTGAATGAACACACTCCATAAGCGTTGGCTGTTATGGAAATTCACTGAATCCAGGATGCTAAATCACTTGAGGACATCTGTATCATATATAGGGTGTCCCCCCAAAGATGTACACACATCCTTTGAATAATTATAAAGGCAGTGTTTGTTAAAATACATTTTAAAAATTGAGCTACCAGCTGTTAAAGTATGTATACTTTTTGGGACACCCTGTATTGTGCCTACTATCAATTTTTTTTTTCCGTACAATAGTGCAAATCAGAATCTTTATTTTTCCTGCCAAGAAAAATGAATTGCCCCACTCAGTGGCAGATGAAGAAAACACACTTTTCATGGTTCCTCGCATTGGGCTAGAGAATGACCCTGTGACTGAAGAAAGCTCAGCTCTGTGAGGTCAGGATCCTCATCCCCACACCATTTTTGGTGAGTTATGGAGCCATTCTGGGCTTACATCCAAGATGATTCCAGACTAGGTTTCAGGAGTAAGGTTTAGTGGGGAATCAGAATAGGTGGTTGTCACTGGTTTTGAAAGTTTTTGTCTAACTTTCTGTCCTCCACTTACCTCTGCCACCTTCCTGATGCCACATCCACCTTTCTAGATCATGCTGTCTCTTTAATTCACTCGGGAGCAGGATACCATGGGTTTGAACTCATTAGGAATTAGCGGGAGACCAAGCAAGAACACCCATTTCATCCCAACACTCCACTACACAGGGGTTTTACTTTCCTTAATGTTCATTTATTTATGTATGTATTTATTTTTAAGCTAGTTTATAGTCCCTGTATTTCCTCCAGGACAATGTTAAGTGCTGCTCAGCCTTTCACCAACTTGGATTAGAATGCAGAAAGCTTTTTAGTGTTAGAGTGGGGTGGAATAAAAAAAATTATAGAGAGTATTGGGATGAATGTTATCCCACACAAGGTCCTACATGTTGTACACACTAGACATCTCTCTTTCCGTTACCTTCTGGTGTTTGTTTTTTTTTAAATAATGACAATAAAGAACTTATTTTGTGCAAAATACCCTAAGCTTTTACAAGGCAACAAAATACTATCTTCATAACTAACTTGGAATACTTTAAATTTCTAATTTAAAGGTGCTATGTTTTGTATTAATAAACCTACTACTTATTTCTCATGAATGTGAAATAAAATAGTCTGTCACCTTCAGAATCTCTGAAAGCTAAGAATCTGTTCATTCAGATTTAACTTGCTTCTCCTTCTTCAGGGTTAAGTTTTATGTGTTAGATTGACATTTTTATTAAAAACTGTTGAGGCTTCAATAATAGTTCTCAAGTTGTGATTCCTGCAAGTTTCTAGGCTCTGAAACACACATACTTAAGTGTTACCAAAACCTTCCCTTTTTAGATTTAGAAAATTATTTTCTGCCAGCGATCTGATGATAAAGTACACAGAAATAAAGCAAACCTCTAAAATATTATGCAATCCTTGGCAAAATTTTAATTATTATGCATATATATATATATATGTATATATATATAAAATCAATGAGGCAAAAACTCATGCATTTGTGGTGCTTTTTAAATAGCAGATGGCTATAATTATTAAGAACAGGGGCTCTGGAGCCAGAATGTCTAGGTTAGATTTCTGCTTCTGTCATTAGTTATGTGACTTCAGGCAAGTCACAGCCTTTCCGTATCTCAATTCTCTCAGCAGCTAACCCTACTAACTAGGGTTAATAATGACACCCACTCCCTAGCTGTGCACTTTAAAGGGTCTGCTGCTTTTGAAAGTGCTTAGAACGGTGCTTGGCGTATGGCGTGTACCACTAAATATTGCCCTTAAACATTATTGTCTTATTATTGTTGGTAAACTAAAGTGGCCCAAGGATAGGTAACCAGCAGAGGGAAACTTTATACCTGTGATTAACTGGATCTGGATTGAATCTATTGCATGCTGTGTGTTTCCCCAAACAAGAGGCTGGAAATCACACTTGGCTCTCCCTGCTTCCCAGAACCGTTGAAAGAACACAGTTTTAAGTAAATAGAATGAGCTCCTTTGAGTGACAGGTGCTTCACACACCGGGTTCATCATCATCAAATTCTAGCTGCCCTCAAGCTCCATCAGGCACGAATAAGCCTTAGACGAAAGCCATGAAGTGTTATCTTAATTCTGCAGTAACAAGCCCAAACTGGTTGCACACAACCAGTTTCTCCCAACTCTAGTCATTACTGATTTCCCTTCCAGCCATTTATATGGGACCAGCAGAAAAAGAGTAACATTTTCCCATATGGTTACTCAGGATATGGGACTCATGAACAAGTTGGCGGTGCCAAGCGCCCGGCTGTTCTTCCCTTGCCACCAGGCTGCTGAGCCGGATCCGCTGGGCCCATCTCACTTTCACTTCCGGGCACCCTGCCAAGGGCTCATTACAAGGAGTCACATGTTCATATCATGAACCAGCTACTGCAGGCACAAGTTTTATGACGCACGATGAGATAATCAAAGGAAACCGCTCACCTATCGAACGCGACAATTTCACCTGCATCCACTCCCTTCTGGACCATAAGAAAACTTGGAGTTCATATAGTCCTCCATAAACTTCTGCCGAGAAATAACGTTCTTTAACTGGACAGATTCTGATCTTAGAAGTAGGTAGAAAACTGTTGTCTTTGGTCAAGCCCCTTCAGGGTGTATCTTTGTCTTTAAATTGCAACCTCTCTTAAGTCACTACCAGCTTGTCCTTGATTCAGAAAGCAACTGTTCTCAGTGCTTAAGCTTCTACAATGTTAAGGAATTCTTCCTGCTCATGGTCTCTCTCTTTCCACGCAAAGGACATGGGAAGCAGGACTTTCCAGGAACCTCTATGGGGACTGCACCACCCACCATAAGAACTGGCTCCTCACATCTCCATCCCTCTTCCTACTTCTCTCCTTGAGTGAGGAGAGCAAGAAAGGGTTTGTTTTTTTTTTAAATATACTTTATTGATTTTTTACAGAGAGAAAGGGAGAGAGATAGAGAGTTAGAAACATCGACCAGCTGCCTCCTGCACATCTCCCACTGGGGATGTGCCCGCAACCCAGGCACATGCCCCTGACCGGAATCGAACCTGGGACCTTTCAGTCCGCAGGCCGACGCTCTATCCACTGAGCCAAACCGGTTTCGGCAAGAAAGGGTTTTTAAGGTACAGTAGTCCATTTCCATTTCTGTAGGAAATACAAGGCTGTCCCTTAGGCTCACTTCTTTGAAAGCAGAAAAATTCAGGTTCCTTCCTCTTCCTCCCTTTAGTTAAATAAACACAAAGGCATCCATTCATTCACACCAGAGCCTTTCTCTGACTTGGGATTTTAGTACAATGGTCAACAGACTGATTCTCCTATAAGGAAAAAAAAAAAAAGATAGGAGCTTTCTCTTTTTTTTTCTTTCTCTTAAACCTTTTAAAAATGAAAATAATAGTTACTGTTTGGCCTTGGATACTTTTATTGATCAGTAACAACTTTTCTGTGTGTCTCAAGTGGCTGAAATTCTAATACTTATATGTAAAAAAAAAAAGTAACTCTCCATGTCAGCACAAATGTTAACACAGGTTAGCACAGCACAGGGCCATGAAGAAATGCACCTCCTAAGGAAAATACACGGACTGGGAAATAGACCTGGAAATAATCTAATGCCAAGTTACTGGGTCATTTAACATGTCACTTCCTCCTTCATTTAAATAGTCTGAATCAGTTTCATTTTTCTCAAAAGTCTTAGGAGCAAACTTTTAAGCGATGAAAATAAAGCTGTTTTTATTATCGAACTGCCACTACTTCATGGAAACAAATGCATGATCTGTAAAACATACCTGTATACACACGTGCAGCTTGAGAGAGGATGGCATTTTATAGAGCAAGGACTTTGATCATGGCAAACGAAGCGGTGCGCACGCATGTTACTTACGGAAAGCAAACTTCATGCATGTGCAGACATTTATGAGTTCCTTAAGGGAACCAGGAAGCTGATTTGGTTCATGAACCTAACACCCCTACTCTTCACATTATTTTATATCAAACATGTTCTGATGTTGCCGAACTTTCCATTTTATCCTTCCAGCTTTTGCAAGCGGAAAACAATATGATAGAGATGTTTATTTCTCGAATTTGACTTGAAACAATGGGAAAAAAGGGAAAGTAATGCAAAAAGAATGAGTAATTCACTTGGTAAGTTTAATTATTATTTGAAATCTGGTACAGTTATTATTGTCAGCTCTACAGTTTTGTTTCCCTTCCACTTCCCATCCTTTGTTGGAAGCTAATTGCAGTGCCAGTGTTTGACTTGGGAAACGCATCCTGGCTCTTGTGATTATATAGCAAGAGGTCGAGGACTTACCTTCTGTCAACACTCAGACTACTTAACAGCAACATGCTTGTCATGTAATCATAATAAAAACGGTTTAACAAAGTTATCGATCCAAATGTTTAGCGAGAGGGTGGCGTAAATCATATTCCAAAATGTGTTAAGACTAAGAAACTGTTACCCCATAGAAATCACTCTGATGTATGGTCCCATTGGCTCACTCCTTGCTTTTTGTTACTGGCTGCCTCATGAGCCCCATATTCCTAGCTCTTCTTTCTATAGTACAAATGGTTCTATACCACCAAAGGGAGAAGAAAATCTCTCTGAACTTTAACCCCAAGAGAAATGAGAGAACATACTCTGCAGGTTTCATCTCTCAGGATATTAGTATCTGAAAAAGGAAGCTGATTTCACTTATTCTACCATCAGTACAATTTCTACAAGACAGGATGGAAAATGGACTGTGTGCGGAGGACCAATATTTCTTCCTAACTTCATAGGAAGTGTCACATTTCCCTGCAGGGCACTGGCTGCTGACCTGTATAATTACTACTGAGGCCTGAGTTGAAGAGGCAACTTGAATTTTTCAGGGCTGTCAAATGTGAAGATTCTGTGACTTTTTCATATAAAAAGACCAGAAACCAGAAAACAATGGCTTTATCTTAACAACAGGAACTAGAGTTTTCTGACACTAGCTCAAGGAAAACCAAGGAATTAAACATTGTTCTCTCCAAGGCTTACGGCCCAAAGGGAAGTGACTTTAGGTACACCAGTCAGACTTTATTCCTCGAGGAAAGGAGCAATTTGGGTATATCTGATCTGCTCCCCCTTCACCCAATCAGAGAACTCTAGGTCCAACTGGAAGACAGAGAAAAACGAAATCAATTTCGTGAACTGCACTGAAGCTATAAAGCAAACTTCTCAGGACCAGACACTGAATTCGGATCATAAATAAGCTAATAGTGATAGGTCTTTATAAAGATTTGTCACAGAGATCATGTATGTATAAACTGTGCAAGTGAAATATACTAAAGAACCCTCTAAGAAAATGTCTTGTGGCTAGAAACTAATATCCTATTCAGGTCAAGATTTTCTTGCTTTAATAGAGCTCTCACTATATATAACAGCATTGACAAATATTTTAAAAATATGAATAAGGAAGTAGAGGTACCAAAAATATTGCTGCTCCCTACAATTGAAGGAAGAAAAATGGGGTGGGGGTAAGGGTAAAAGTACACCTTATCAAACTAAAAGGCAGACAATATTAGAATAGCCCAAAAATGTCTTTTCAAAAGTTACAACTTGGCTAAACAGCTATGATCTGAGGGAGAATTTAATTCATTCATTTTCTTTCAAGATTTTTTTATTCAGGCATAAAGTTCCATAAGCAGAACACACAATGCTTTATCTAAAATTATGGTGATGTTGAAAAATGCCTGACACGGGTAGCACAATCCAATAAGAGAAAGGGTCTGTGCTTCTAAAGAGAGAATGGATACTATTATATCATGTTAACTCTAGTTGATATCATCGATCACAGTATCATCTATATGTACGTTATAGGACAAAATTCATCAGAACTGTTTTCCCTAATAAGATGTCAAATTATCACACAACAGTGGTCGACCAGAGAGCTCTCTCCAGGCAGCCCTGTTTGCAAGCCTCATTCCAGCCACCAGAAAATCAGTACTGTTTTCAGTCATATCAGTGGTATCAAAATTAAAGTCTTAATTTATCCTCTGCCACTAAAGCACTGAATTTTCTAAAATGTTTTCCATAGACAGTATCAAAAGGCAAGTAACAAGTTAGTCTGTCCTTTTGGAATCTAAACCGGGACCAAAAATTCACTTACATTTTTCCTCTCTAATCTATTCTGATAATTTTTTAATAGGAAGTTGAGTTTCTCATTATTCATCTAACTTGAATTCCTCTAACACTTAGCAACAGTTCAAGACCCCAAGGGAAGTTCCTCCTCTTGTTCAAGGTTGACGGAAGCAGCAGTGGTAATTAACGTAAGTTCCTGTAATCACTGTGAACCGTTAGAATCCAAGTCACCCAGGGTTGACTCTTAGGAGACTTAGAAAGCTTCCTTGGTCTATTCGTAAAATTGAGAGATAACATTTCCTAAATGTTTTGGTTGGCTGACATTTTCTCTGCTCGAATACCCACCTCCTTACATCCAGAAAGTCACAATAAGCTCTGTGCAGGAAGGGCCTCTTGATTAGAAGAGTAAGAAAGTGGATTGGATGGTTCTGCTTACACTTCCTATCTCCTTCCTTAAATGACTCCTTTCCCCGCCAAAGCCACTAAACCTGGAAAGCACTTCCATGAAGAGGAAGGCTTATTAAGGCTATCAGTCTTTGCAAAATACTTTATAGAAAATGCCAGGCTGTTCTCTTGGATGGAATTTAGAATGTCAGGCAAGCCATGTCAACACAAGAGTGTGAAAGAAATAACTGTCCTGGAAAACAACGGAGGGCAAACAGGACACTCACTGCACTCCACCTCGTTTACAAAGAGCAGTCACATTTACGGTGCTAGAAAGCCTCAATCCCTGCTCATCAGGTTTAAAAACCAAAATCTTAGCTTCTAATCTAAGCAACTGCCATCCAGCAAAATAGGATATCTCATTTGAACCCACAGAGCTCCCAGTTATCCTGGTTACTTTTTACACTGTCAACAGCGATGAACTAGTACAATCTCCAGTGGCCCTGTCCTTATACCTATCCTGTCGCTGTAAGAAAGCACCGAGACAATGACTGAAACCTATAAACACAGATCTGTGACATTTATTTCTAAACTATTCAAACACCTCAAAGCCTGAAGCCTATTACTTATTTTAATATGGAGAAATGGAGAAACACTAAAAAGTGAAAAATGTAGGACTCCATCAGGGCCACTACCAGCTGAAAATAGACAAGCAATACACTCCTCTGGCCATAATGACTTATTTGGTGAAATACTAAGTTTAATGGGGGACGTTCATTTCAAATTATCTTCTTACATAGAGGATTCTGACTCTAGAAGACCTGGGAGCTTTCTTCAAGTCATGATCTAACTAAATAACATACCCTTGGTTTAAAGAAAAAGAATTTAATGGAATTTAATCTGCTCCTAATTTCATAGTCATTAAAAAATCAATTCTGAACCAATATCGGAGGTAAAGGTTTACTATCAATGCTTTATCCTTTGCCTCTGCTCTTTCACGTGGCCCTCCCAATGCTATATATAGTCTACCACGACAAGACTTGGTTTTGGCTACCTTCCGATAAGGATTATATCACTTATGCAAAGTCATTTTTATAGACTTTAAATCTCTCTCTCTCATCTTGAAACTTCAAATTACTCTCCCTCAAAGAGCAGGAGTTGACTGAATGGCAAAAATAATACACACGCATGCATTATGACATGATATGGAACATATGAAATGGATTGTGAGAGTGGGGGAAGAATAAACTTTATTGGCCCACAGAAGGGATGAAGGAATCGGGAGGAGGCGCTAGGGTAAAGAATGGGTACGGGTGGGAAAACTAAAATGGAATGATTTAAAATGTGCAAATACACTTTGTAACCTCCACCATTCAACGCAGAGATGGAGATGTACTGTGAAGTTCAGGTAGACTAAAGTGAGTTTCACTTTGTAGCTGATGCTACTTGTACCAGTTTTATCATTAGTAAGTCACCATTGAATTCTGCCAGTCAGACCAGGCTCTCTCTGGTTAGTACAAACAAGGCTTTCCATCCTGGTTGCAGTGACCCGCCAGTGCTCAGAAGGCATGCTTGTGACGAACTCGCACACTTTCCAGTTCCCCACCTCCATTGGCGGCCAGGGTCTCCAGCCTGCTTAAGCGCTCCAGGCTTCTTCCAAGAATTTCTTCGAGCCGACTGCGTAACACCTGGGCCCCTTCCAGTTCCACCTGCAGAGTCTGGTCTCTGTCAGAGCTGATTAAACATGCCACACGGAAGGAAAATGGATTAGCCATCAACTGTAAGGAGTCCACCTGTGCTTGCAAAGAGCCATCAATGCCATGAGACCTTCTAAAGCAAGCATGTCAAACTCACGGCCCACAGGCCACATACCTCATTTATTCGGCTGTGTTAGCCTTTGAGTTTGACATGCTTGTCTAAAGTGACTGTTCTCAGGACACAGTGAATGAATGTAATCTTTGTTGTGGCATTTGTGGCCACTGCGGTAGATTAGCAAGACCTGCTCCTTTCTTTAAAGCTTGTCCCTTATCCTAAGCCCTGGGCCAATCTCACATGAAATTATAGCTCCCGAGATTTATCTCACACCTCTATAGCATATAAGAGAAATTTCAGTTTTTGACTAAGAGTGTTACTTTCTGAAAAAACAAAACCCAGGAAAAACTAAACATAAACTGAAGCAATGCTGAGCCAAGTAAAATACTTGTTCTCTTGTTTGTTAACCAGACTTGACAGTGGCTCTGAAAAGGAACCCAGTTCCCTGAGACTAAGGATCCAAACAGTCTTTAAAAAGTAACACAATCAAGGGGTCCTATTCTACCTTTCCTCTTCCTTCATTTGCTTAAAATAGAAAAAAAAATTAAATCCAACAATAATGAAACTGAATAGTAAAAGAATAAAAGAATAGTAAAAGAATCAAAATCAGGAAACAGAAAGGCGGCTAGGAGGGAAGGCAAAATGTACAAAAGGGGAAGAATATAAAATGGACCAGAATGATATAATATACATGACCCCAAATCAAGAGGGACAAGAATACAGACTGATCACAATGGCTCTCGGTGATCCTGGGGTGATACTGCCATCGCAGTAAATATGTTTTCTTCAGTGATACTCAATAGTATCAGTTCCTATTACAGCCTTAGTCTTACAGCAGAACAGTCTTTAGTAGGGCATGGAGCAGAGAAAGGAAAGGACTCTATACATGGAGTGCTTACTAGAGGCAAGGCATTATTTTAGAAACCTGCTAGGTCTTCTCATTTGCAACAGCTATATGACTGACTTAAGATTAGACACTTCTGCTCAAAGCAATCCACACAACAAATGACACACTGGGCAGTCCCAGTAGCCGTCTCTGCCTTCTGTTCTCCCCTCTTCGCTATCGTACGCATCTGCACCTAATGAGAGTAAACGGGAACACAGTGCAGTCACTCTCTTACCTGTCGGGATGGGCGTGGAACTTCACCAGGCTGCTATAGAGCTGTCGTTCTGCTTGTAAGGCCTCATTGAGCCGACTCCGTTCATCTACCAGTCCTTCCAGCATCAGCAGCAGCTGAGGAAAGAGTAGAAGAAATGTGCAAATGGAGACATGAAACATGAAGGCAGCTAATCCTTAGAAAGACTAAAAGAATGCATTAGCATGTACTTTGACTAAAAGAAAGCTCACTATATTATTACTTACTTATGCTTTCCATGGTATTCTAGTTTTCAAATCAATGCCACATGAACTACCATTTTTTCTTCTTTAAAACCCTATAAGGCAGTGTTTAAACATGGAAGCAAGTAAAAGATAGAGAGGAGCCAGAAGCCTAGGAATGAGGCTGAGAGAAAGGAGGGGAAGAGAAAGAGAGGAAGGGCAAGAGGGAAACATGTAATGGGACTTCCTAGTATTCTTCATTCAGCCAATAAATACTTATTGAGTCCCTTCTTATGTGCCAGGTTCTGTTCTAGGAACAAGCTTACTATCTTGTCAGGGGAAGACATTCATCAATCACGTTTGTCACTGTGTCACTGTGAGCTCTGATAAGTGTGATAAAGACGACGAGCTATGACTGTGCATGACCAGAGAGATCTGTTAAGGGGACTGGTGGAGTTAAAAGCTAGACTGGAGTGACATGAGCGATTAGTGGGAGGGATGAGAGTGGAGACCAGGAGCACAGGCAAGTAGGTCTTCTGAGAAGTTTATCATTGAAAAAAGGTTAGACGTGGGGCAGAAGCTACAAAAGAACTTGGGGAAGAGGCAGTAGTTTTTCTTCTTTTCTTAAAAAAAACCCATAAAAACTTAAAAATTTAATCATTTTTAAAAGATGGTTACATGCAGGCAGATGGATTCAGCCGAGAGAGGTGACTTAGGGCTCAGGGACAACTGACGGTGTGTGATGAAAGAACTGCTTCTCCCTCCACAATTACAAGTGTAAGGAAGGGGCCTCTGCACTGGTGGCTGACACTGACCAAGGCAGGACACTCCAGAGCACAGATTCTCCATGAAATTCTATCCCCGGACCCTGTCACAGCTAACTGAGATGGACAGGTTTTCCACTGTTTACTTCACAGTGAAAATAAGGTTTGTATTCCAATAACTTACTTGTTGTCTTCGGTTTCCTGAAGCTTCCTGACCCTGTGATTCTACCAAAGCAACTTTCTCCCGAAGATGTAAGACTTCTTGAGTCAGGCGGTCCATAGCTGGTATGTCTTCAGGATCAACCAGTTGCATCTGCAGGTCCTAGAAGTAAACAAGTGGGAATGGTAATAAAAATACTATTCAGCAAAGGAAAACATGCTCCTAAGACAGTCTGCTACACTTTCAAGTGGGATCCGGATAAGCCATATGAAGGTAATGATGTATTCTGAATGAAGGCACTGCAGCTCCGGTACAAGTCAGAGAGAACACAGCATTATCACGAGACTCTAGCAGTGTGTCCAAGAAATAAGCACTGGCCAACGGACCAATGCATCCGAATGTGTGTAGGTGCCTATTCTGGGTTGTAGCTATTTCCAATGATTTTTAAAAAGCTGAGAGACCTTTATGAGGTCTTCTTTAATCTGTATGTTCCTGGTCAGGGACTCCATATCAGCCGCCTGCACCTGCAGCTCTTCCTCTTGCACAGCCATCATGGACTGTAGAGCAGAAAGTTCCATCTGTGCAGAGAAGAAATCCTCAGGTAAATTATAAGCAACAAAAATTTTATTTGTGTATTTTCTAATTCTATCAAAGCTTACGGTATCACTGTGTGGGCTCATGGTGATTTATAACGATACCAAGTTATCGGATGGCTCTGGGCTCCTGTGGCATGTTAGGAGAAAATGTTCCTCCTCACATTTCTGTGCATGAAGAAGCCCAGGTAGTGTAAATCCTGACCTCTCTCCACCCCTTTCCTCACGCAGCCCCGGGCAGTACTATCGTAATGGTACATGGGGGAATAACAAGCCAGGCATGCTTGACTAAGTCCCGCCTTTCCTAACCTTTGGAGAGAGTTGCCTGCAGGAAGCCTGTTTTTGCCAGGGCTTCTCCAAGGGCAGGCCCCTCCCTACCATGCAAACTGGGGAATCTGCCCAGGCCCAGTGTTGCCTAATTCTGGGGACTGGCTAGCAGGCCCATGGGCTCTTGCATTAAGCTCTCTACCTAAGCCTTTATCAGTAACACAGTTGATTAGGTACCACATCATCTGCCATTACTTTGTCTTACTTCCTAGTTTGTTCAGGTCTGCGCTATGGAAAAAAGGGGTGCTATGTATTAGGCCCTCTTCAGAGATCTCTATCGTTAAATATCGAGATAATTTACTCCATTAAAAAAATGAAAACATGAGGAAGAAACATTATTGCAGCATGATAAAGTTCTGCAGCCAGACACACATGGGTTTCAAATCATGTCTTAATATCCCTGACAAGACATTTAAACTGAGTTTCAGTTTCCTCAATGGTAAAATGGGAATAATACCTACTTTTCAAGGCTATCTGAAAATAAAAAATATGTATCTAAAGTGCCTGGCACATACTAGACAATCAATAAAGGATGATTACTATTACCACCACTACAATTATCTCAAGATAGTAGGGGAGTACTTAAAAATTGGGGAAAATCTTCATGGCTTTTGGAAAATAATAGATATTAGAGGAAAGTTGATAATGAATATAAGACATTGAACTGAGAAGTTGGTAGTTAAGGATACATAAAGGTAAGTAATATGGCTAAATATCATTCACTCCAAATATCCATTTACTCATTATAATTTTATAATCCTGAAAGGAGGACAAGACCAGAGTAACATTGCTCTGAATTGAGCATATATGAGAAAAACAGGAACTGCATATGGAAACTAAAGAACTGACATGAATAATCAGATAATGGTTGGAGTAGAGGTCCCCCCGCCAAAAGGGGAGGATAACTGGGGGATTTTAAAAATTCTTATTTTTTAAATGCCATGCAACTTCATATCCTCAAACTTTATTCATATGATGTGGGTCTGTTTTTAAGGAGATAAATGGTGTAAAAAGAGAAGCTAAGAGGTATAATAAGATACTTTCATCACAACTATGAACACAGGCTTTACATTACAGATCTAAGACAAAGAAGTGGAACAAAAACTGAGGAACTACACAGCTTAGCCAGCTGAACTGGACTTAGGAACCCATGACCCGAACCGACCTTCTAAAACAGATGCCCTGGTAAATAAAGGCTCTTAGTTGTAGTCTGGAACACTATACTGTGGCCCCAATATTCCCTCTGCGTCATAGCTGGACATACAACTAGCTGCACAGGGAGGCAGAAGGGGGAGAGAGTCTGTAAGGCCGAGAGGCCTCTTCTAAAAAGACTGATGAAAACTCTATTGCTAGAAATAGAGCATAAACATGGGGGGGAAAACATGTTCCAGGAAATGACTACTTAAAAAGCATTTCAAGTCACGAAAGACCTGAGCTTAAATCTTAGTTTTAGTATTTAATTATATGACTACTCCCTACTTCTGTGCTTTAAAAAATCTGAGTTTTAGCTTCTTCATCTAAAGTAGGGCCAATACCATTTACTTTGTATAGAATTGTAATTATTAGTGCTAATTTAAGTAGCCAATACAGTGCACTGTATTTAGCAATTACTCAACATTAGTGATCATTCTCAAATTTCTCTTGTTCCATGTTTCCAAAACTAATTTTATGGATCTAATGTCATAAATCTAAGCAGTAATTATATAGCATGTCATTTATTCCCAAATACTTTATTCCAGTTAGCAATGGGCAGAGAAAACTATTACTTTAGCACTTAAAATGTTTTAACAGTCCCCATTTATAAAAACCAGAGCATCTTGGAGAGGTAATGTGTACATAAAGTGATTTATATTTTTCTCCAGATATTATAGTTGGAGAAGTGTACTTTCTTAAATATAAATTATTTTGAAAGAAAAACTAGGAATTTAGAAATTAGGCTTGACTAGAAAACTCACCCGACTTTCTCTTTCTTTTTTAGCCATGAGTTCAAGTTCCTCTTTGGCATTACTCAGTTCTTCTTCCAGCCCTGCAACTGTGTCCAAGTCTCCTAAAATTGAAAAAAAAAAACACAACAGTGCTAGGTTCTATCACTATTAACACAGCATGATCTCTGCTGCCTCCTTTCTCAGAAGTTTACTCTGAAGACACACCCCAACAATAAAAAACAACATATATGCACAGGTTGTTCTTTGCAACATTATTTGTAAAAGCAAAACACTGCAAGCAACCTACATGCTTATAAAATAAGATTAAGGAAGCCATAGTATAACCACACCAAGGTTAAACTTCCTGTGTGATAATTATATTGTAGTTATGGAGGCAACTGCCTGCCCCTCCCAACACTGAAATGTCACCTTACAGCAAGTGTCCTCAGCCTTCTTAAAAGATACCCAGAAGGTATCAGCCCCATCGTTCTGCTGTGCAGGTTTGGAAACACTACCTCCTGCATTGCTGAATCCCTGCAAAGCTATCTGAAAAGGAGGATGCAATTTCCCTGGCCAAACTGCATACCCAGAGCAATCACCTCAATTCAACATAAGGAAAGAGCAGTTCTTCCTAGAATAGATGCGTCTTCATCCTTTCAGGGGAACGCAAATTTAATTTTTCCATTAAGGTAGGAAGGGAAAAAAGGAAAGAGAGTTGGCCAAACGTATTAAAAGAGAATTATGGGAAGGAAAAGCAGAGATTCCTTAATGAAATGAAAATTGATGCTTACCTAATGGGGACTTGGGTATGGTGGTATCCCCTTTGGTAGTCAATGAAGTTCTATCATCTCTGGAGGGTATGTGCACTGAGCCCTGAAAATTGGAGGAGTTGGGGGATTTAGGAAGATGCAGGAACCATGATCACAATGACAAGGACTTGGATTCTTCTCACACATGTCAGATAATTATCAAACATATCTACACAAGTCTACAGTCTTACTTGATCAGTCTGCTCTCCGAGGCGGGGGCTGACGGAGGTCCCTCTAGTCAGCTGGCTGGAGATGAGTGCTTGGGACAGCATGAAGTCTTTCCCTCCTAAATATTGGCGAAGGGCCTGCAATTCTGAATTTCTTTCCATTAGGGCTTGCACCATCTTCTCGGCAGCAGCCTAGAATGGAAATCACACATGACATCAGAAAAATTCTCTAATAAAACAAAATCTGTGTTCTGATGTTATATGTTAAAAGCCAACCCTTTATGAAGCCAGTTTTGGGACCCTAGAAAATAGTTTCCTTGCTTTCAGTTTACAGGGAAAAACAGGCAATGAGTGAAAGGTCTCTCATAGGTAGAATATTAGAAAAAACTGAATATAACAGATATAGTAAAGATAAAATAATCTGAAATTGGTTCTGCTAGAACTCATCAGACCAAGGTGTCAAGATTCTGGTTTGGTCCTAGCTGGTTTGGCTCAGTGGACAGAGCATTGGCCTGCATCAGCCTGCGGTTTGAAGGGTCCCAGGTACGATTCCAGTCAAGGGCACATGCCCCGGCTGTGGGCTCAATCCCCAATACAGGGCATGCAGGAGGCAGCTGATCAATGATTCTCTCATCATTGATGTTTCTCTCTCCCTTTCCCCTCCTCTCTGAAATCAATAAAAATATATATTTTTTAAAAAGATTCTGGTTTGAATTGGGATAACAGATGTCTTCCTTTACTCTGGGTAAAGTGTGTGTTAGTCCTTACCTGGCTCTGCCGCTCCCTGGTGCTCATAGACTGAAGCAGGCCCTGAATCTCCATTTCGTGTTCCACTGCTAGTTTGTTTCGGTCACTGAGAAGGTCCTGCAGCATCCTTTCCTTGCGCTGTAGACGCTGGCACAGCTCCTCAGCGATCTCACTCTGCCCTGGTCCGAGTTTGCAGAGCAAGGTTGCACTAACATCCTGAGACAGAAGAAACAGTGTAAGTTTTGGAGGAAAGAATTCCCTCTATTACATATCAGAGGGCTTTTAAGAATCTATCATATAAGAAAGAGCTGTGAGATTCTGTTTCATTTGTTTTTGTTTCCCCAGACCCAGCGCAGGCCTGGCACATAGAAGCCTATAAGTACATGCTCAGTGAGTGAACACTGACAATACAGAAGAATACTGAGGCAACTGACATACTGTTTTGAAATAACAAACTCGATGAATTTATAGGAGGAGGGACAACAGTCCCAGTGAAAGCCAATGACTCGCCCAGGCACAGAACGGAATTAAAGACTTGGGTCACTGGCCTCCCGGACCTCAAGAGTCCTAATCCAAGACTGAGATTATGTAACTGATACACTGACTACCAGTAAGTTAACAAAGTCTTGCCTCCACTTCTTTGTTCCTGTCATGCAGAGATGTCTGTAACTGCTGAATGATACTTTCTTGTTCCTTCTGCCAATGGCTAAATTTGGTTTCCATTTCTTCTTTCAGCCACTGGAGGTTTTGACAGGTGGCAGATAACTGCTCCACTTCCAGGCCTTTGGCCCTCAGGAGGCTCTCCATGCTCTACGGTCACAAAGAAAGCAACCGTAAGTCCAAGGACCACTCCACACACCTCAGGTTACACACGAAACCCGATCTACCTTTAAATTATCTTCATGTTATCAACTATTTTACAAAAGGAGGAAACTTAGTACCTAATCTAAAAATGCCATACTAATTTATTTTTTGTTTTTAGAAACTCTCATCTAGCTTGTAGAGACATAAACATAACATACATGATAAATGATGTATTTTGGAGGAAGTAGGCTACACTATACAAGAAGTGGAGAACTTCTTTAAGAAGTGGCAGATGGTAAGATACATAAGCTCTAAAATAAATATCAAAAATGCTCCACAGTAAATATTATTAAAATAAACAAATGATCGGATTGTGGCCATACACAGACATGTATGTAACACTAATGGAAAAACCACAATGTAGTAGTTGCACACTGGCAATGCTTATGTAAAAGTGTACAGACATTGACAAGGATTAGAAATTAATTAGAACCATGTATAGAAATCCATATTCACTGCCTCCCCCTACAAAGTTCATGAAAGTGCTAAAACGTCTCACTTCCTAATCCCTGATGATGAAACTAATGACTATTATTTTTGTTTGTTTTTATATTGTTTTCTCATAAATTAATACACTGGTTTGCAGAAAATGATAGAAGGGCTGATGCTTCAGGAATGCAAGTAGGAGAGGGATGCCAAGTCAGGACAGACTTTGCTCTTACCTGCATGGTAGCTTCATTAGAGGAGAGGATACCGCGCAGCCTCTCTAGGTCAAGATCTCGCTCTCTCACGGCAAGACGAAGTTGCCGCAGCTCTTTTTCTTTTTCTTCTAGAGTGGAGAACTTTTCATCTATAGCCCGCTGCAAGGAAAGCAAGGATCCTAAAGCTCTGAAGAGCCACTATCCTGATCACCCTTTTCCAATAGGAATCCCAATATAAAGGAATGGAGAGTCAACTGTGAAAAGCAGCAAACCCAGTAGATACAGATTTCTATAGGACCCACGCGGACAGAATAATCCATAGCATCATGAGAAAAATTATGGGACATACCTCTAGCGCAGCATCTCTATCTTGTATTCGCTGCCGCAGTTTCTCAAGCAACATTTCATTTGCTTCAAAGGTTTTGTCCGAGTTATCTCGATATTGCAGGAGCTCCCTAAATTCCTAATGAAACCAAAAAATATTTTCCTTTATTCATCTACCCAATACTAACTGAATTCCCATACTCTGCCAAGCAATTTGTTAGTTATTCAGGATAAAAACCAAAATGTGATCACTTTCAAGGGGAACAGTTTAGCCGAGATAACAAATTTTTAACTATTCTGCATCACATACACATACACATGTGCGTAGGGGAACATGGGATGCACTGTCTAACTCTGCCTGAAGGTGTCACTAGAGATCTCACAAAAGATTACATTTGCTCTGAGTCTTGAAAGGACTAGAAGAGGTGATGGAGGAGGAATTGCTTTTAGAGAAAGAAAAAAGTATGTACAATGTATGCAAGCTAGGAAAAATCGTATGCACAATAAACTACAAGGGATTCAATGTGACTGGAGCTTAGAGTAGGTGGTAGAAGTGATCCACGGTCTTCTTTAGTGTTCAATTTCCCCCTTAAAACTTTCATTTTATCATCTGGGGAAATTTCTATTCAAATCTCTTCACTTACTAGGCTAAGAGCAGTGGCCATCTCTTCTCGTTGTCTTCCTAGAACCTAGCATACTTTCTGACTCACAGAGGTGCTTAATAACTATTTACGACTATGGCCTCCGTCTTTCCAGTCTATATTTGCTTCCTGGACTTCCTGGTTAACATCCTGGTTCACAGATTGTACTTTATTTTGAATCCTCCTGATCCCCACCTCTCACTCTTCTACATGTGGCAGGTACTCAACGCAGGTGGACTGGTATCTTAAGATTACATAAACAGGAACCTCAGCTCTCTGAGTCCAGTTTTCGATGAAATCACTGTGTGACTCACCTGAAGCAAATGTTCTTTGTGACTTAGACTATGGTTTAGATGCTGAATGTGTTGCTCCTGGGTTCGAATCTCATTGTATTTTTCAGCCTCCAGGGTACAAAGCTGTTGGCTCTTACTCTGTAATTCTCCTTGTAGCTGCTGTAAGGCTTTCCGCAATTCCTGAATTAAACAGATTCCCCTCATTTTATTTTTTGAAATGCTGTAAGAATTTATTTGAGCCAAACTGACAACACAAGCAAGTTCTTAAATGGTCCCCCATGATCCCTTTTGTTAAGAATCTAACATTTTCACAAGGTCATTAGACATGGAGGCCTTAAAGCTTCCTGAGCATGTAGAACAAAATAAAGCAGCAGAAAGTACCATTCTTAAAATTACTCAGAAATATTATACACAAATCAACTAGGATGTGGGAAACCGAGGGAACTGTGGATGGGGGTAGAATGTAAATTTGCTAAAAATGATAGACCTCTATAACTACTAAGGAGGACTCTGTCCCACTGCAAACTGGGATCCTTTGCTTTACAATAAGATCAAGGATAGGATATTTCAACCTTCCTTTTAAATCTTAAAAAAGAGTAGCATATGCTCTAAACTAACAAGATAAAGAAACCATTGAAAATTATGTCTTTTATTAAAAACAAACATGTCTAATGGCATGTGCCATTCCTTTGACCTTGCTTGTGCTTCCACTTTTCTTTCTCGCTGACATTTTTTTTTCTTTTAATATATTTTATTGAGTTTTTACAGAGAGGGAGAGGGAGAGTTAGAAACATCGATGAGAGAGAAACATCGATCAGCTGCCTCCTGCACACCCCCTAACTGAGGATGTGCCCGCAACCAAGGTACATGCCCTTGACCGGAATCGAACCTGGGACCCTTGAGTCTGTAGGCCGATGCTCTATCCACTGAGCCAAACCAGTTAGGGCCTTTCTCGCTGACTTTTACCCATCCTTCAAAAATAACTTCATAGCCCTGGCCTGTGTGGCTCAGTTGGTTGGAGCATTGTCCATGCACCAAAAGGTGGTGGGTTTGATTCCCAGTTGGGGCGTGTGCGGGAGGAAATCGATCAATGTTTCTGTTTATGTGACTGTATCTCAAATTAAATTACAAGTAACTTACAAGGCAAGAGCCTGTAATCTTCACTATTGTATTTCCAGAGCACAGCCCAATATTCGGCACATAGTATGAGGACAGCAAATGTTGAACTGAATTACTCAGATAAAGTAAGCGACTAAAGGGTTCAACACAAACTGTCCTGACAGAAAGTTATTATCTGGGCAAAGTCGGTCTTTAGGGCCACAGAACGATTAATGATTTACCTGGTTATGCTTCCAAGAAGCCTCCTTCTGCTGTTCTCTCTCGTGGGCCGCAGCCTCGACAAACTGCACACACCGTTTGGCGTCAGCCAGCTGGCGTTCTTTCTGTCGTACGGCCCTCTGGAGCTTCTGTATTTCAAGCTGGCTGCAGAACAGAGCGCTCTGCAGGTCAAACAGAGCCACCTGTTGCTGAGCCGGAGTACCCTCTGAGCTCTGAAAAGAGTAAAAATCATGATCACAAGGAGGGCAAGCACCAAGCAGCTGAGAAGACCAACAACATAGGTCAGAGAACGGCACCTCCTCCGTGGAGTCTGCCTATGTGACCCCCACATACATGAAGCTGTCCAAGCTGGCTTTGGTGAAGCATTTCTCGAAGCTTTGCCATTGTGTCATTTTGACCTTCGATCACCTGGTATAACTCCTCCGTCTGAAAATGAGAGAGGGAGCACCATACATGTTAGTAACCGAAATGTTAATTAACTCCATTATCTCGCCTGTACAGATTTTAGTAGCAGGACTATTCCAAAATACCAACTCAGGTTAAGCTACAATTTCTCTAGGGTAAGGTGTATTAATCTGACATCCAAAATATAGAATACTTGTCCACTTTAATGGGACACATCATTTCCTCACAGGTCCTTGATTGCCAAATATTTTACCTCACTTTCCCTGCTTTTCAGAGTTTCCTTGAGGCTTTGAATTGTACCATCTTGCTTCTGAGATGACTCCTGAGCAGACTTCAGTTCACAGCTCATTTCATTCAGTTTCTCTTGAAGAATCTGAATTCAGAAAAGTAAGAGAGTTTGTTAGGTCAATTATTTCTTTTAACCTCAAATGCATAAGATCCTCCCTCAAATCTAGGTTTAGAGGCTTCCTTGGGAAATATTACCTTATTACTTTTCCCCCAATATAGTGACCATTCAAGTCCTCAGCCAACCAGCAAGAGGAAGTAGCAGGAAAGGTGAAATACTTCTCCCTACACTCAGTTGCTTCAATTCTCATGCACTGTGCTTTTTCTATGATGGCAGCCATCCTGGGCACTTGTCCTTATGAGTCACTGTAGATCCCTTAAACCAAGACCAAGGAGCTTCTGCCATCTAGCTTCATATAGGACTATGCCAGGCCAGAAGCTCAGCATCCCACGTTGTGAGACTTTTCTTCTAAGCAGATGTTAAAATCCATTGGTTAGGAAGGGGTGAGAAGTTAAGCTAAAATCAAAAGCACAAATCTCCTATCTCGGTGCCTTATACATTTAAAGACTGCATTCACTTTTTAATCACATACGCAAAAGGCACCTGCAACCTGATCTGTGCAGAACAGGCTAACATCCTGATGCGAAATAAAGAAGAACTATACTTAAACACACACTATCCACCTCCCAGGTCCTACTCAGAGAAGTTAACAGACTCAGCTAGAGTCAGTCACATCCTCAGGAGAGTCTATGATCTCCAAGGGCCACCAGGTGATCATACCTTGTTGGTAGCCTCTGTTTGCTGGATTTTTTCCTGGAGTTCTGCCATGTGGGACTCGGGTACCGACTGTTGAGTTATAATGGTCTCCTCTGAATTCAGCTTTTGTTGTTTGAATAACTCTTTGGTCATGGGCTAGAAGAAGCAACAAGACAAGTTACTTGAGTTAAAAGTAGTCAACAACAAAATTTATTTTCAAAGGATTTTAGCATCTTTTGCTAGAGACTTAGAAAAACCGGTCGTTGCATGAAATATCAGTATGAATTCCTGAAGACAGTCCTGTTCCTTAGTAAGAGTACTGATTCATTTCCATCCTTACTATACTCTCTAGCTCCCCTCTCTAATTCTCCCAGCCATTCACACAAACGCTAGCTATTCAGTTAAGGCAATTAATTCAGAGTTTAAAGAAAGAGGAGCATTCAAAATAGAAAAATGATGATCATATATTCACTTTATCCTGTTTTCAATTAGGAAATTCAAAAGGCACACTGATCAAACTTATGTCATCCCTAAGAGAGGAAAAGTTATATTCCAACTATCTTTCTTATAGCATGCTTGCTCACATTATTGGAGACATTGGCAGATCTTTAATATGGACTGTACATTAAATAACAGTATTTTATCAATGCTAAAATTATATAACATATAATACTGTAGTTATATAAGAGATGTCCTTATCTTTAAGGAAATAAATGCTGAAATATTCAGTGTAAAAATGCATATTATCTGCAACTATTTCTCAAATGGTTCAGGAATGAAAAAAATAATGTGTCTATATAGACAATGGGAGCAAAGTTAGCAAAATATTCGGCAACTGGTGAATCTGGGAGTTCTATGTACCTCCCTCATGAAATTATTTCAAAATAAAAAGTAAGCCCGGCTAGAGTGGCTCAGTTGGTTGAGCTTCTTCCTGGCAACTGAAGGGTTGCCATTGCTGGTTTGATTCCCATTCAGGGAACATGCCTGGATCGAGGGTTCAATCCCCATCCACATGTGCAGGAGGTAGAGGATCAATGTTTCTCTCTCACAATGATGTTTCTCTCCCCCCCCCCCCCCTCTCTCAGCATGTCCTCAGGTGAGGATTTAAAACATGATAATAAAAAGTAAAAATATTTTAAAATAAATTTAAAAATCCATAGTGGTCTGAGGAAACGGTGTCTTACAGAAAGAATAATTCACCAAAACAATTCAGATAAAAAGCAGACACACGTATTACTTATATATGGGATGATCAATCAGACTGAGATGAACTCATTGAACTATACTAATATTCATTATGAGCTAAGGATACTTACTAAAATAAAGCTTTAGGAATTCACTATGGCATTAAATTCTACCTCCTCCGTCCCTATTCCACCTCATTCCAATTAGAAAAATTATAAACTCATTAGAGGAAGAGAAAAAAAGCAACTGGTATTCATTTTTTCTTTCCTTCACACTTTCGACCTCTAATTACCGCCTTGCAGGCAATGGAGTTACAGCTTACCTTAAGTCCCTTCCTGCCAGCAACTGGGAGCATAAAGTTTTCAGAAGAAAAATCTTTTCTATTCCTTCAGTGCTATTTATCAATTTTTCTGTTCATCATGCATTACTATCTCCTCTGCTCACTGAGCCCCATACTATCCAGCACATCTGTTAAATACCATAGTATATAAAGCACTGTGGAAGGGAGCTACATATAAAGGAACATGGAAACACAAGAAATATCAGATAGGAACAAGCCTTATGCAGTAAAATAGAGAGCATGATAAAGCGATTAAGTTACCCTAAATTGGTTGGTCTGTGTGCAAAGATCTACAGAACAAGCTAGGCAGAGGGAATAGCCAATGCAAGAAACCTAGGGTGGATGTGAGCCTGGGAAAGAGAAAGGCCTAGGGGACTACGGTATCGCTTTCCAATAGAAATGCAATGGACCATATACATGGTTTTAAATTTTCTAGTATCTTCATTGGCTAAAGTAAAAATAAATAGGTGAATGTAATTTTAATAAAATATCTTATTTAACCCATTATATCCAAAATACTATCATAAATAAGATTCAATATAAAAATGATTAACAAGATACTTTACATTTTTTCATACTGTCTTTTGAAATTAAGGGGGATATTTTACACTCACAGCACACTCAATTCGGATTAGCCACATTTCAAGTGTCAATAGACACGTAAGGCTAGTGGTTACCTTGCTGGATAGCACGGAGACAGTAATACAGGATGAGATGGAAAGGAAGGCAGGGGTCAAATCATATAAAGCTTTTGTACACCAGAGTTAATGAAACTGAATTTCATTCCGATTGAAATGAGAATGGACTGCAGTGTTTTTAACAGAAAAGTAATCCAATCATATTTAATTTTTCAAAAGGTCACCAAGCAGCTCTGTGATGAGTGGACTGTGGGGGAGCACCAATAGAAACAGGAGACGAGGGAGCAGGCTGTTGCAGTAACGTAGATGAAAGATAAGAGCAGCCTGGATTATAGTGGTAGTAATGGCAGGGGAGAGAAATGGGTAGGTGTGTTTTGAAAGTACAGCAAACAGGACCAGATGGAAGAGACAAGAAGAAAAAAGAAGCAAGAAAAACAACTCCTAGAAAAATTGAGATATCTGTTGTTGTGGTATAACAGGGAGCCTTGTCCTGAAGCAATGTGAATTATGTCATACATGGGAGATGTAACTATTTAATAGACATGTACAACAATTCTAAATGATAAATAGCTATCATTTACTTAATGATAAAACTTTGTCTACAAAACCTGGCTTTTTATTTCCTCAAATAAAACAACTTTCCAATAATATCTAAAATAAGATGTGTTTCAAAAATTTTTTAAAAATACTTTTATTGATTTCACAGAGGAAAAAGAGGAGAGAGAGAAAGAAACATCAATGATTAGAGAGAATCATTGATCGGCTGCCTTCTGCTCACCCCCTACTGGGAATTGAGCTGGGAACTCCGGCATGTGCCCTTGACTGGAATTTAACCGGGACCTTTCAATCCACAGACTCTGACATTCTATCCACTGAGCCAAACCAGTTAGGGCGATATGTTTCAAATTTAAACTATAACAGAATTTTAAAAAATAGCCTCAGATTTAAAGTGGTAGGACCTGTGGTTATATCTATGCCCTTTAAACCAAAGAATCTTAGTGATATGAAGAAAACTTTAATTATCTGGTCCAATATCACCCTACATGTAGGAAACGGTGAGTAACTTAGAGATGGTAAGAAATTTGACCAAAGTGACACAGTAAATCAGGAAAAGATTCCAATTTAACCAAATGCACTTCAGTTGCTAATGTATCTTTCACCTCTATATAAAATCACTATCTATCACAATGCCTACAATATTATAGGGACCACAAGTTTTTTGCTTAATAAGAACAATAAAAAGCAGGCAGACAAAAAATAGGCCTGTCTCCTTCTCAGGAAAATGTTCTAATCCTGTAGTGGCTCTCTTACAAATAAGACCAGATAGATGGATATTTAATATAGATATTTCAGCAGCAACTTTGAAGCCAAGAAGGCCACAGAAGAGTACAAATGAATCTGGATCTCATCGGAACCCATCGTGGCATAAATAATCATAGGAAACTCCTAATTCTGTAATGTACTGACTTACAAGCTAGAAGTTGTTTGTTTCTTCTTTAATCATAATACTTTACATCTCAGAAAAATGTCCTTTCAAATACAAGTGCCAAAAAAGCATTTAGCAAAGCCCCACTGAACCAACTGGGCTTGTGAATTCTTGTGAAGTATCAAGCACATAAATCAATCGCTCCTATGAAGATTTTATCAAGCCTGAAATTCAGTAATACTTGATTTGGTTGATTAGTTTTTTTTTTTTTTTTGGTTGATTAGTTTTAATCTCCAGACTACTGGCTACTAAAATCATGTTGTAATAATTTTAATTAAGTTGCTTTTAACTCAGTTAGGACAAATCCAGTATCAGAAAAGAGAATTGCTTCCAGGCCTAATGTTGTATATTGTTAGACCTTTAGGCTAAAAGACAGTAATTTAGGTCTTCCGGGTTAACAGCATTTTTCTTGGCACATTACTAGTCCTCACAATAGCAAGTCATTAATCTCAAACGGCTGTAATTTTCTATTCCATTGTTGGTAAGAGGAGATACATAAGAATCATCACCCAGCATAAAATTAAAGACCTAATCTTGCCCAGCATCTAACACATCTTCCAAAGGGCCTGATCTGGTTATGTAGCTCAACTATGCGAGCTATAATTTACTATAGTCACATGAGAGCAGACGCTGGCATTGCAAAGCTTAAAGCAGAGATTTGCTCTTCGAATTTACACAGAAAAGGAAATTGCATGTGGGCCAGGGCTGAACTGCTGTTTACTAAGGAACCACACCCCTCCTATCATAGCTCTTCCAGTTCAGGGCCAGACAATAAAGGAATAATGACCAGCTAGAATAAAGCTTCAAACCTTTCTTTAGCTATTTAGACAACCTTGGGTATTCAGGCATAAATTTTGTACAAGGCAAGTTAGCCAATTTATATAATATTAGGAAATTAGTAAGCAGGAGAAGGACACTGCTGCTGTTTGTCTTTAACATAAGGAAGGAAAAAGCAAAGAGAAAGACAGTAAGATAAGTAATCAGAAGGCACTGTGATGGTGACATTTGAATAGTGCACATCATTGGGGAAGTAGAGAATTAAACAAAGAAATCAAAATGATCTTACAGCACAATCTTGCTCTTTCTTCATATTTGTAGTAGAATATAACTAAAGGAAATTTTATTCTTTTGTGGTTTTTCCTTTCTACAAACTAAAAGGAGGACGATCAAAAATAATTTACATTTATTTCTAATCTTCCCACATTTGTTCAGAGCAATAGACAAAAACCAGTCTGCCTTTGTTCCACTTGGCTCTGGCTCTGCCATAAAGCACAACAGGCCTAAGGGAATTTAAAAGTCAACTTGGCCTAAAAAAATTAAATAAAAGTCAACCTGGCCTAAAGAACAGACTAGGGGTCCAAAACATACATTTTATTTTCAAACACCTGAGCCCAGTTTATCTTCCTATTTCCCCCCACATCCTTAATTATTAGAGAAAATGGCATAGTAATTAAACGCCATAATTCAAGCTGCATGTTATTCTCTCTCCCTCCTCTTGATGTTTTAT